AGAGTGTGTGTGTGTGTGTGTGTGTGTGTGTGTGTGTGTGTGTGGGTGTGTGTGTGTGTCAGTGTGTGTGTGTGGGCATGTGTGAGTGTGGGCGTGTGTGTGTGTGTCAGAGTGTCAGTGTGTGTCAGAGTGTCAGTGTTTGTGTGTGTGTGTCAGAGTGTCAGTGTGTGTGTGTGTGTGTGTGAGTGTGTGTGTGTGTGTGTGTGTGTGTGTGTGTGTGTGTGGTGTGTGCATATGAGTGTGTGTGTGTGTGTGTGTGTGTGCGTGTGTGTGTCTGACCTTTGATAGCCTCGTCCACGACCTCCACCACTCGATCGATCTGCTGGACCTACAGAGACACAGAGAGACGCTGAGAACTTCATTCAGAGGTCACTCATGTTAACTCAGCCGCTCCTCACAGACTCTGCAGGAGAACACTGTGGTGTCATGATGGTGCAGAGACTCAAACCACACACAGCGGTGAGATCTGCTCCTCAGACTCCAGGAGTCGTGTGTTTCTGCGGTCAGATGAACCCATATGAGGAGGAGGAAAACACACTACAACTCATTAGGAAATATGTGACCCTGCCGCACAAAAGCAGTCTTAAGTCGCTGGGGTATATTTGTAGCAATAGCCAACAATACATTGTATGGGTCAAAATTATACATTCTTCTTTTATGCCAAAAACATTAGGATATTAAGTAAAGATCATGTTCCATGAAGATATTTTGTAAATGTCCTACCGTAAATATATCAAAACTTAATTTTTGATTAGTAATATGCATTGCTAAGAACTTAATTTTAACAACTTTAAAGATGATTTTCTCAATATTTAGATTTTTTTGCACCCTCAGATTCCAGATTTTCAAATAGTTGTATCTCAGCCAAATATTGTGCTATCCTAACAAACCATACATCAATGGAAAGATTATTTATTCAGCTTTCAGATGATGTATAAATCTCAATTTCAAAAAATTGACCCTTATGACTGGTTTTGTGGTCCAGGGTCACATATGTCTTTCACCTTTAACATTAATTTAATGTGATTTGTGCTTTTAATAGCAATAGTATAAGCATGTGTTCTCACACACAAATGTCTGAGGAGCGTGTTGATGTGAAGATCACCATCACTGCTGTCAGTCTTCAATCCTCAGAATAACTCAGACCGACAGATGATTCAGATCAATCTCCTCTCATCTCTGATGTCAGAGTGTCACATCAGTAAACGGCAGCAGATTGGTCACTGCTTCTGATGACGATATTCATTAAGAAGCTGTCTGATGAAGGGAGAACCAATAGATGTGTAACTATTTCTTTCCAGCAAATAAAACTGGGAGATGTGACGGATGACTGACAGTTCCACTGACATGAGGATGAAGGACGGTGATGCTCTACAGCAGACCGAGAAACCTACAACCACTATAAACACACCACTGCATGAATCATTTCACGTAAAGCATCATTGCAATACCACAAAATATCAAAGTCCCATGTATGTGTACAAAAAAATGCACAAACACACTTTTCATACATGCTAAAACAACATGCAGTGCTGAAGATGAAGACAGCGTTGTGTTTGTTTGTGGTTCATGGATGCTGTTGATGGTTCGTGTGATTCTCTACACCTGTTAAAACACCTGTAATCTTGAACTAAACTGACGTTGTTCTAGGGTTGTGCCGACAGACGATGGTTATCGTGTATCAACAATAGTCAGAGATATCGCCTGTGGCTGATGCCTTTGACGATATCAAGACGATTATTATTATTATTATTATTACTACTACTGCTATTATCAGGCTAGTATTATTATCTAATTAAAATTAGGGCTCATTTGTTCCATCATATTTATTTTTAGGCGTTTGAGTTGGTGAATGCAGCGGTCAATCAGAGGCGTTCAGATGAGTCATCGCTGAAACAGAGGAGTTTTGTTGTTCAGAGCGTGCACTCGCGGATTCTCTCATCATAAACAACAAAGGGGAGATGCATGTGCGATGTAAACAAAAGATTCATTCATCATACAGTGTAGACAGCTTCATTGATTATAACGGGAGTGTTTTTTAAAGTGCATAGCACGAGCAGCTCTCATGTGTGATCTACTGTAAGCATGGGACATATAGAAAACTAGCCTTATACTCTCACATTTAGGTGGATACAGCAGCTTTGGATTTTGTTTTATTTAAATTATTTTTTGCTGGAGTGAAAGGAATGCCAGTTTCTTTATTGCATATTAGTTCTGGATTAACTTTGTTTGTAAAAAGATGTATTTATGTGTGCTAAAGCCAGATTGTCTCTACTTTTTCTACTCTTAGTTGCATTACTATGCCAACACAGGTAAGAGTGACTTGTGACCAGTCATGGTGGAACTGGTGCACTTATCCCCTAATCAGTGATGATGTTCTCTGGTAGTGTAGATGCTCGTTTTCTGTAGCTGAATATCATGACATCCATATGCTAACTTGACTAAAGAGAAGTTGTATGTAGTTAATAGACAGACAGACAGGACGAGATCCAGAGTCAACTGATTCCTCAGAACCTTATTCTTGCACATTTCCACAGTTTTACACCCGTCAACACTGCACTGCTTCACTGTTCCAGTCTAAACTATCGCAGAGAGAAAAAGGAGGCACTCAAGAAAAAGAAAGACAGAATGGCAAATGGAGTGAGAATAAAGAGGCCTGTAATGGTGAGAGTCGGCTGGAGGCGCAGATCTTTCCTCCGCTGAGCTCATTTCTGCATGGAGGCGGTGAGATTGCAGGAGCAGATCTACAGTATTAAAGGGAATTCGTGTCCATTGTGTGGCGCACCCTGTGGTTAAATGGCCGACCCGAGGCCGCCGGGGCCATTAATTCAGCTGTACTGTGGGCCGAGAGACGGAGCGCAGACCCGGGCCTCCACCAGCTGCAGTTACATGAGTGAAAAACACTGGAACAGAAATCAATTCTGCTCTAATGGGAGCTCAATCTCGGCCCGAGAATCCGCAGCGGGACCGGCTCTCAATGCAGCTCTCCAGAAGCACGTCAAAGAGCCAGAAGAAAGGTAATTTTATTGAGTGGACTCTTTCATGTGCTGGCAGAGATTTTCGGGAGCGGCAGGAGGTCGGTCTGTTTAGCATTACCGGCGTGTTCCTTCCTTTGGCTGTAGTTTCGTGCTTTTAATCCAGCCCTGGACCAAAGAACTTCAAAATCCCATGTGTGATTCCCCACAGCTATTGTTTTTAAAGCAAACTACTTGAAAGCAACGAGGGATGAGCCGCATTCGACGTGGAAGTCTGTTGTCTAGACAAAACAAAGATGTGCTGAGGCAGCTTCACCAAACACTGCGAGCCCTCCGGACCTTCGATCCGCACCTTCTCTTCTCACAGCAGTTTAGTCAGTGTACTGTTGGAGAAACTGAATGACTCGGTACGAAAATTTGTGTATTAGTGCTTACTGTAGACACGAACGGTTTCAAACGATTCAGTCCGATTTGGTGAACTGGTTCGACCGGTTCACTGGGAAGAACCGGTTAAATAGAACGATTCGTTCGTGAACCACACATCACTAATACGCAGATTAGAAATGATGTCGGGGAAGAAGACATCGCATTTCTGGGGAACCGAAGAAACAGAGTTCAAGTTGTCGACGTAAATCAATTAAAACAGCGGCCATGTATCACACATATACTCTTTCTGAGTCCATCATTTGTGCTGAGCAGTGGCGCATGTGAATAATGGCGGTAAAAAATAACCACAATTCTTAGCTAATAATACAAATAATGCAAATTGCATGTAAACGGGAGTGAAGAGCTTTGCTCTTGACATGTAAACATCATAATGCGATTAAGACCTTACTCTGATTATTGGAAATAATCGCATTATTTGTGCGCATGTAAATGTCGTCAATGTTAATATACTCAAATATACTATTGTTCATTTTTAATTCATGTTCATTCATACGTTATATACACACATTACAAAACATTAATGTTTATTTACACAAATGAAAATGAACATTAGCATAGATTCAGAAATGCTGTAGAAGTGTTGCTCAATGTTAAACTGAACTCTTGGTTGTTTTGTCGTCTCCTCTGTTTTTCCCTGTGTTAATGTTGACTGAAGCCCCGGAGCCGTTCAGCATACTCTACAGATATGAAGCATCGGGCGGATGGATGGAGTTTAGAGCGTTTGTCTGAGACGGAGATCTGAGCTAAACTCAGCGACATACGCATTACTGAGAGACAGCAGAGCGAGCGAATCAACAGTACACCTCTCCACACACACACATCTCAAATGCAGTTGACACGCTTCTCGACTCTCTTTAAACCATAAATAATCCAGGTTTGTTTATTTGCACAGCCATGTTTTATTAAAGCAGGACCGGTTAGGCTCAGTCCATTCATTATTGAATCGTCTCCTTCATAAACATGAATGTGTTGGTAATCCCACACGTTATGTCGAACAGCACACCATAAATAAAGTAATTAAATTCAAAAAACAGGTCTGTTCCTGCTCAGCACTAACAGCTGCTGAATTACCGGCCAAACGCTGCAGAGCTCCATTCTCTAGATCAGTGTTTCCCAACCGGGGTGCCGTCTGTCGAGAGCAGGGGTGCCGTGTAAAAAAATCATTTTTTAATATTTTTAAATTGCTAAAATGTTCAAAAAAGCATCTATTATATAATATCCATTTCTGATGTCTCCAATAATTAGAGATGCACCGAAATTCCGGCTGCCGAAAATTAGTTCACCGTTCAGGTTTCACTTTCACGTGGTGACGCTCTGCGTATTATCCGCTCTATGTGTGCGCTCCTCTCAGTCGCTCCACTCTTATACCGTTCATGCGAATCGGAACAGAAGTCCACTAGGGATGGGCGATACCGCTTATTGTGTTTTCGATACGATACCGATATTTTTCAAGGCAGTATCGTCGATATCGATACCGATTCGATACTTCTGAACTAAACTTTCTTACATAATGGTAATAATGTTTACATATGTATAAAAGCCTACATTAAAATCTGTCATATAAATTGGTCTCTTCATTAGAAATTAGCCTACTGACTGCCACCATTGATGGACAATTTTTTTTAATAATATTAAAAATATCTGTATGACATTATATTCTGCAGTTCTTCCCTGTTGTACCGAATATCTATACATTTCAAATTATCATATCGAAGTTAGAAATTCAAATATTGTGACAAAAATGAATTTTGTAGGGTGCCACAAGTTTGTTAAAATTTCCAAAGCGTGCCGCGACTAAAAAAAAGGTTGGGAAACACTGCTCTAGAACACAGAACTGATCAGGTCTCCACACTCACATCCTGAGCACGGTATGCAAAACACCTGCTCATTTGCATAAGGTGATTTTTCCAACGGTAAGACCAAACAATCATCGCCCACACATGTGACTCCGACTCGTCGCCGGATTCCAGCTGTAACTAATGCAAATATGAGCTGAAAACAGCTCTTTCAGTTCAGCACACAGAACAGACGGACAGTAAAGAGTGAGCACCAGCAGTGTTTGAATGCATCAGTGAAAGTGAGCGCTGGTGTGTGTGGGACGCTCACCCCGATGATGCTCAGCTCTCTGAGGTAGTCTGTCCTGGGCTGGGCCTGCGGCACACATCCCGCCACAACCACCTTCTTATTCTGCTCCTGCGCTTTCCTGAAACACACACACAGTCCACATTAGTCCGGCAGAGGGACGATACCTGTAACATCCCACGGTAACATAGCTTTTTATTATTTTTTAAAACAAAATATTAAATAAATGAAATTATTTATTTATTAATGCTGTTAATAGTTAGTAAATAATATATTAAAACATTAGCATATAGCCTTCAAACATTGTTCAATTTAGTAAACACTGCATAAAAAAATTACTAATAAAATGAAAATCAGAGAAACGCATTATGTGGCAGGTCTGTTGCACTCACACTGCCAGATGTACAGCAACGCACAGATCTATTCTGACATCAGACTTCTGGATCGACCCGGTACTCATCACTACTGGCATTGTTACATTTTTACATTTAAGTATCAACTTGATACCAAAGCACCGGTACTTTCAGCAACACTAGTGACTATAATGACTGATCAACGATCAGCCAGATCAATCTGATATTCTGAAATGTATGGCACTGGCTGCTCATCAGCACTAGTTCTGACATGCTCAGTTTTCAGATATTCCTGAGTGAAAGTAATATCTAAATCTCTCCAATCAATCATATCTCTCATCAAGTCAAGTCAAGTCAAGTTAAGCTTTATTGTCATTCTGCTGCATGTGGGTTGTCTTACTCACATTGAGGGACAGGTTGTTAGTGCCACACTATTAGGGGCCTTATTGTTGGCCTTATTAAGTCTGTTCTCCTCAATAAAGAAGCAACACTGCTGGTCTTTTCCTCTGATCTGCTGGAGTGCACACAAACTACAGTTGAACCACATCCTCATCACACGTGCAGAAAAGGGCTCATACAGCTCAAAAACACCAGAAATAAACCCAAACACTTCCTGATCAGAGCGCACGGTAGGCTTGCCGCGATAGACGGTGCTGACGGTGATACCGGTGTTAAGCCGCAACACCGGTTATGTCACTTGACCCTAGCGCACGGCACAAGAGTGAAGCGTACAGTGAGCTACAGATCTGTCAGTCTGATGACAGAGAGCAGCAGAGACTCATGGGAAGTGACAGTGATGCCCTCAGTGAGATGGAAAGCTCAGCCTCTCTTCAAAACTCTGTGCGTGTGTGTGTGTGTGTGTGTGTGTGTACAGGTTTATATATATTGGTGGGGACTTAAACCTGAATACACACAGACTCGTGTCACGGTGGGGACCTAAATTGAGGTCCCCACGGGTACAAAAGCTTATAAATCATACAGAATGAAGTTTTTTGAAAATCTAAAAATGCACCAGTTTGTGTGGTTTGAGGACACAAATTTGTATAATGACATGGGTATAACATAGGTATTACAATATGAAGGTGGTTTATGAGGACACTTTCTGTGTCCCTGTAATTCAAAAAGCTTAACAAAATACTAAATGGTGTTTTTTTGAAAATCTAAAAACGCACAAAGTTTCCTGTGAGGGGTAGGTTTAGGTGTGGGGTTGGTGTAGGACAATAGAATATACGGTCTGTACAGTATAAAAACCATTACGCCTATGGAGAATCCCCACCAGGATAGCAAACCTGACGTGTGTGTGTGTGTGTGTGTGTGTGTGTGTGTAATGAGTGAACAGTAGCTGTCTGAATAGAGACTGCTCCTCAGATGACAGCAGGTTCATGTACTGTGCCAGTCTGTACTGCAAATTAATTATGCAAGACTATCAGGGGCTCAAACCCAGTTCTTTCAAATTCCTCTCTGATAAAACACAAGCACCCACATGAAATGTTCAGGTGACACAGCGGTCCTCAAGTAAAGTGTCAAACGGCCGTGTTCAGTTTCTCCTAGAAGAGTAAGGTCTGACAGTGTGTCCTTGACACAGATGCTGAAGTGTGTTTTCTGACTGTTTGTTCGGTGTGGGACAGGCAGCTTCACACATTCAGACCGATGAGTCACGGATCAAGCTGTCCAAACACTCCAGCGTGAGATGCTCGATCACTCCCTTCCTTTATGAAGGACTGTGTACTGAAACATGCTAATGATGCTATTATTGTGCAGCAAAGACACAATGAGAAAAACTGCTACTGAGATTCTGCCAAAACTGAGACACTTTCACTTTAACAAGCACCAACTGGAAGTCTTGCAGCATTAGCAGTCATAAACAAATCGCAATATTGTCCAGGTTTGCCCATGACGGAAACGGTTCGCTGTCAACAGCAGGATGATTGTTGTTGTATGTGCGTGTGATTGCCATATCTGTCTTCCTGAATGTTTGTAACCAGAAAATTATGATCCTACTGAGAGGAAAACACTAAAACAAAGCAGGGGAAAGAGCAGAGAATCGGCACTGCTGATATGTGTGTGTCGTGACACCAGCATAGCAGCAGTTTATCATGCACTGACTCACACAGTCGTTTGTCTGGATTACCATACCACACGATTCCTGGACTGGAAAAAAAGCAAGGTAGTGGTTCTTAATCTGGGGCCGGGCCCCTGGATCACATAATGAATAATGATTAATTACTTTAACATATCATGTAATACAGGTCTCCAGACTAACATTTGATGGCAGTGGCACTAGGGTTGTAACGGTGAGGAAATTTTCCCACTGGTTAATCGACATGTAACACCAATAATACCGGTATCACCACTGGGGGGGGGGTGTTAGTTCGTTTGAGTCTTCCCTCGTTTCCTCGCTTCACTTTAAAATAGCTTGTAAAAGCGCTGTGTGCATTTTACTTTCACTTTCAAATTAGCGGCAATTCTGCGTCGATTCAATTCAAGTAACAACAAAATACAAGGTCAAACTCATAGAACTTTTATTAACAAAACAAATAAAAATACACCATGCTATATGCCTAATACTGTATAAAATAAATTACTTAGGCTACACAAAGGTATACAAAACTGAAAATCAGCAAACACTGTGAAACCAAATAAATAAGAAACATAGAACGTTTATTAGCAAAACGAATAAGAAAGCTTTGAGGCACAGCATTCACCTTGATATAAAATAAAATAAAATAAATAGGGCTGCCCCCTAATAGTTGACTAATCGTTAGTTAACCAGAAGAGGCTTGGTCGACGAAAATTTCATTAGTCGCAGAAAAAAAATTTAAAAAAATAAAACTCCACAGGCGAAGTCACACAGTTCGTGACGGACAGATATCATTCATCGACCTCAAATATGGCTTATCATCTGAAATATGTAAGTATTAGCAACTTTACATGGCCGCTCAATCTAATGTTAACCTAGAGAAATGTGTGCTATTGAAGTCTGTGCAGAGTGTGGAAGCTGAACAGTAGATCACTGCAGGACAGATGGAGGCGCAGGTCACTTGCTCTTAAAATACTCTGTCATTTGTGCTCCTACAGATAAGAGTAATACATCTTTCAAATCTGTAAAGACTATGTTTATTTGTGTGCACTCACAATAACAACAAAACATTGTGC